AACTAATCTCTTTTTGTAGCATTCATTCCTTGTAATCAGAACTTGAGGCCCCCTCCCCCCACATTTGATAATGCATTATCAACTTCTCCAAATCTTCTGGACTTAGTGGCAATGGGCTTACAAGGAGAGATTGAAAGTAGTGATGGTGGCTCTACAGATGCCATACTACAGCTATAGCTACTGATGCTAAGATTTGCCTTTTGGCCTCCAAAACTGATTGTAACAGACTCATGCAATCCCATGAAATCCTGACCAAGTATAACATCACAACGAAGATTATCCAACACAGCAAGATGTGTATCAGGGTAATGTGTTCCTTGTAGAGAAATATTAACCTTACTGTATCCTAATACAGGGGAAGCAAGAGAAGAGGAAGCCATAGATACATGGCCCATTCCAGACAGCATAGCTATGGCCTGCTGTAGTATATATTGGTGAGACAAAAATGATTCACAGATTCCTGTATCAAGAAGTGCTGTAGACTTCATGCCATCAACAAGGAAGTTTACGGTCGGCAGCCTGGAGCAGTGGCAGAAATAATAGCAAGAGTAGGTGAGTCAGTTGCAGCTGAAGTTGAGGCAGAGGCAGATAGAAAATTTGAAGTCGACCTGCACACCTTGGAAAAATGCCTTTTCTTACTGCACTTGTGGCATATTAATTCTCGAGCCAGGCCCAGGTCGGTCATGTAGATTGCCTCCACAAAAATAACACCTAGAACCTAGAGTCCCCCAATTTTTGGATAGCTACAGACAGGTTCTTCTGAAGAATCAACAGTCCCAGAAAGAAAAGCTGCAGAACTTACTAGAGATGATCCTTGTACATAAGACTCAAAATTCCTTTGAGCAAGATCCAGTGCCCTAGCTTGGTCAAAGGCTGTCTATAGATCCAGAATCTTTATTTTCTAGGAGGTTCTGACAAATCAATAGTGTCATGAGTCCATTGATGAAAGTCTCTCTTATATAGTCATCCCGGTTCTGTTCTGCTGTAACAGCCTTGAAGTTGCACTCCTCAATGAGCTGCCGAAGTTCCTGTAGGTATTTATCCAATGTTTCGCCTTGACGTTGCCTTCTTGTGGAAAGATGCTAAGCGAAGATTTCATTCTTGGGCTTCACGTAGAGATCCTGTTGCTGTTGTTCCTGCTGTTTCCCCAATACTGTACAGTGATCCCTGGGTTAACGAGCGCCTCGGTTAACGAGATTTCGGTTAACGATTTACCTTCCATAAGATTCTTAACTCGGTTAACGAGCAATCCCTTGATTAACGAGTTTTTTACAAGCCGACCTCAACATGTTTTCGCTTGCATTTGGCGGTCCACCAGCTGTAGTATTAGTCCGCCAATACAGTAATCGGTTTTAGGGCTTAAATTCCTTACTATTTTAGTAAATATCAAAGTTTATACTATTCAATAATTTTAAAAAGTTTAATATTAACTTTTTAGTCATTTTAACAATTATTGAACATAATTGAAGGTAAAGAAACTAGTTTCTGGAGCGCCATCCAGCCTGTTAACACACCATACAGGCGTTAGTCTCTCTCTTTTCAGTGGAGGTAACATCTTGCTTGAGACTCTCTTCAACTAAACACTTTTTTTCTGTGTTTCCAAGCAAATTATTGGTCATTTTGAAATTTATTTTACATATTGACAATATATAATGCAGTGCAGTGTTGATTTAAAGAAAATACGTAATCTTGAATTACACTCTTTCAAAATACTGTACTTATTAAAAAGAACATCTGTGAATAAAATGAATGAAGTCAAACAACAACTTCATTTTTTATGTCTTTCAATACATGGAGAAATAGCTCTCAACTCAATGCTACTATAGCATGCGATCTACAAGATATATAAATTAGGTTAGGTTAGGTTAGATATGATCATAGATCACCTGTAGTGGGCAAAGTATGAAGGATGAGGGAAATTGCAGGGTAAAATAGAGCAAAAAAAAACTGATTATATGACACTAAAATTGTCTCTATGTGCTTTGTACGTGAAGAAATTAATTATTTACAGTAAATATTCATGAAGAATCAGCCACATCAGCGTGCGTTGTCATCCGCTGCTTCAATGCAACAACCAAACTGCTTGGTCCAAGCATACTCTCAGTCCACAAAAAATTTAAAATTATATCATGCCATTACAAGAAAGTTGCTTCCATTGGGGTAAAATTTTAGTTTCGGTCATCCCTGAATTTAGGCATCCGAACTATGTTTTTCCAATGGTTTTGACATGTTTTGAATAATTTTTACCTCCCTTTCTAATGGAAATTATTAGTTCTTGAGAGCCCCCCCCCCCAACGGTAATAGAAGACCCCCAGTGGGAACCCAAGGGTTTTGGTGGAGAAATCCCCCAAAATAGTAATTTTCGAGAAATGAAGGTCCAAATCATTAAAAAAAAAACATCAAAAGACATCGGAAAAACATAGTTTGGATATCTAACCTAACCTAATGTAACGTGAATAATTTGCAATGGAAATGCCAAAGAAGAAAAGGGTCTTAAAATTGTCTAAACTACCAATTCCAATAGTTAAATTGCCATGATTCTCCAGATGACCGAAACTAAAATAATACCTTCATTGGTCCCAGATATTAAAAAAAAGTTCTTTCTGTTTAATATACCCCCTGGCTAGGTTGTTAGGCAAGGTTAGGTAAGTTTCTTTGGTTAGGTTCAGGTTCCATTAGGTTCTGTGCATTGTCGTATCACTTTTATTACTTACTATCATCCAAGTAACATCTGTAGAAAAAATTAATGAATGGAATTACCCCCCGGTACTCCTTCTGGTGTTAGCCATCTACTCCATCGTTACTGAAATTTTGTCATATAGCTACAATACTAAGGTACTCTTGTCAAGCACTCAAGTCAAGTTAGGTCTGCTGGTAATGTGCAACCGACATTTCTTATGGAAAAGTCCCTGGGATGCATTCCATCAATTAGGGTTTGGTCTGTGGTTGGCAAGCAGGAGTCAACACTAAGTGTAAGCATGCCATCAATAGGTGGGTAAATGATGCAGCTTTACTTACAAGAAATTTTTGGGGTATTTTTGCATTAGTGCACACAACTTTCCTATCCCAAATCTATTATCATATTCAAATAAGACGTCTAATTTTAAGATAATTTTCTTCTATTACATTACTGTCGCAAATGTACAGGGTGAGCATAAAGTCTTTCCCTGATTACAAACATTTATTACACAAAACATATGCTAGGTACAAACATACAGTTTTTTGCAGTTTAAAATATGCATGAAAAAAATCTATGAATTCGTCTACACACAATGCTACAACATTCATGTTTCTATCTAGAATGGTCTTCAAGATGTGTTTTTTCATAATCAGGGAAAGACTTTATGCTCACCCTGTATAATGGAGATAGAGCATCCAAAATTTTCTCTATTTTCTTCCATTAATCTTCCGCCATTATCGTCTACCTCGCCTCCCACACTGCGTGTCTCCTTCATAAATCATCGAGCGCATGCGTTCCTGTACAATCACGCGGCCAATAATTTTTTATTTTTTTGTAACCAATTAAAATGATCTTTGGTTTAATTTGCATTATTTTGGGCCCAATCAAATTTGATTTTTATTTTGGGTCTCTCATATTTCCAAATTCATATTCATTTCAGACCATGGAAGTCTGTGATGGGTGTCACTTAAATTATATGGAAATGATTGCGAGTTTTGGGAAAAAAAAGGAAAACTTCGAGCATTTTCTCGATCGCATGGTGTTCTCCCGACCTCAGTAAAGTGTCTTCATCACTTCTTGGAAGAAGCTGCCGCCCTATACCCCCCGTTAAGCAAGAATCAGCGCCAGCAACCTGAAGAATCGCAGAATCCAACGATGAACAAGAACCAGGGCAATAAACTAAGAAATAGGTGATTCCATCATATAGTGAGTCAGTTAGGTTAGGTTTGGTTTATGTTTTTCTAGTGTTATTTGGTGTATTTTGTATTCGCTTGGCCATTATTTTTTTTTTTAAAACGTCCCACGAAAATAAAATCGATAAAAATCGGCCAATTTCCGGCCGGATATGAAGGTCATATTCGGTCTAAACACACACAAATACACTAGAAAAATATATTTCTTAATTTCTAACAGAGTGGGGTGTGCTTACTAAATTTACCTTATTATCATTTCGGTTATGCAGTAATTTTTTTTTATTTTAAGTTTAGGTCAGGTTAGATTGGGTTATGTTATATGTTAGGTTGAAATTGTTGTTTCCTATGTTTTATTTGTTTTGAACAAATTCCAAATACGTGGATGACCGAAACGATAATTTTACCGAGGTTTTCTTTATATGCTGTAAACAGTACAAGAATTCCGGATATTAATTACACCCAATTGATAAAACTACATTTTCTATGATAATTTTCTTATATTACATTAGATTAGCTTAGGTAACATTTTTTTAGCATTCTTTGGTTGCTGTAATCTGCAATTTTACCGATTTTTCATTAGGTAGCTGGTTAACCCAGCTGTCATTCCTAAACTATTATAATTTATTTTTTGTCTAAAGTTGCTGGTTTACCTACATCCCTGTTCCAAAGTATTACTGTAAAAACTAATGAATTTATTATGGAAATATCAAGTAAGCCAAGGGCTCTGTGCTTTCAGTGCTTCACTAACTTAACAATCACCGAATTGGAGCAGTAAACAGTGGTTCATTCCTGTAAAAATAAGAGTTTCTGTCAATTAGCTTAAGTCCAAAAGGTGTGGAGGCCACAACCTACTTGCCATGACCTAAACAAATTACAGGTTGTTTTCTTTTCTATAACTTTTGATGTGGAACTGGTCGAGCCCCATATAATTAGTGCTTAAGGCCACTAGTCCGTCAGATTATTGTAAGAGATGTATGATGGGCACCTTCCTCCAGGTCACACACAACCGACAAACAATCATAAAATAATGCTAACCAGATAGTGGTATACAAGCCTGTTACTAGCTTCCTGGAGTGAGTGGAGGTGTAAACAATAAAGGTCTATTATACACCAGGCTAGACACTCACCCACCAATTGCTGTTGCTGTCTGGCACTAATTTGTAGTTCTTATTGCGGCAAATAGATGACAGGAGCGTTCTCTCCCTACGGCTCCTGTTACGTAGTTTAACTGAACTTTTATTACTTTTATCCTCTTCGCCACTGATCGGCTCGTTAACCGCTTGGGCGATCGGTCACGTATTTAAAAACATTCAAGTCAGAATCATGAACTCTGATCTAGAAGAACTGAGAAATGTAGAGAGACCTGGCAGTTGTAGTATTAGTAGATATGACAAATTTTGTGACGAGAGGTACCGGTATGGCCAGCATAAGGACAGAACCAGACAATGTGATGTAGTCTTGGCCAGAATTAGGCTTGGATACAGACACATCTGGCAAGTTAGTAACGCTGTACCCATACCGGAACACTCAGCATGTAAACTTTGTGATAAACCTTTAAAGCATACACTTGAACACTATATTATTGAATGTGACACTGTGAAAGACTTCAGGCCACCTGGCTTATTGTATCATGAACTTTGTAATTACTATATTGATAGCCCACACTGATTAGTCTTCAATTAGAATATGACGTCCAAAATCTCTGCCAGGGTAGCTGGATGCCGAGAAGTGCAGGCACCAGCTTGGTGGCCCTCCTTTGAACATTTTCAACCAACTGACAGTCCTAGCATATCTCGAGGACCAGATGGGGTGACAGTACTCAGATGGGGAAGCACTTCACTCCTGAAGATCGTCACGAGGGACGGACCGTCTAGATATCTGAACGACCTTCTTATAAGACCCAATAATTTATTTGCCTGATTTACTTCTTCTCACAATGGCCGGGAACTGGCTCATTGTCAACATACACACCTAGGTCCTTCTCACACACAGTCTCCAACTAGTACATTTCTTCATCCCGTTGGGACATATGGTACGCCTCCTTACCGTTGGTACGCCCCAGAGTGCATCCTCTTACACTTCGTGACATTGAATCTCAGCAGCCATTCCTTCGACCATTCCTGGAGCCCACAGGGTCCTTCTGCAGCTCTTCACAGTCCGCTTGGTTCTTAATTTCCCGAAATAACTTGGCGTCATCGGCAAACATTTGTATGGAGGAGTGTACAACGTCAGGCATATCATTTATGAAACAAACAAACAACAGCGGGCGTAATACACTACCCTGCGGTACCCCACTTGTTACAGGTACAGATGACGATTTCGTGCCATTAATCACCACACATTGCTTGCGGTCATGTAGAAAGTCTTCTATCACGCCTAGGACATTTCCCCGGAATTCCGTACCCTTCCAGTTTGATTTTCAGCCTTTCGTGGGGTACACTGTCGAAAGCCTTGGCAAATCTAGGTAAATATTGTCGATATTACCACCCCGTTCTAGAATATGGGTCCAAATATCAATACCTTGAACAATTGTGTGTCAAGCAAGAGCGCCCCTGACATAAAAACCGTGGCAATCTTTTACAAAGTTGTTTCGTAGTAGTGTTCCATCGCTGCATCTCTGATAATACTCTCAAGTACTTTACATATTATGCTGGTCAGGCTCACCGGTCTATAGTTGTTCGTGGAGTGCCTATCGCCTTCTTGAAGATAGGACTCACATAAGCCACTTTCCATTCACTGGGGACCATTTGTTCATCCAGGCATTTACAAAACAGAATCTTCAGGGGCTCTGCAACTCGTTGCACAGCTCCCTTAGCACTCTAGGATGCACCATGTCAGGTCAGGACTCTTATGGACCTTTAGCCTGAACAGTTTATTTCTAATACCCTCTTCTGTGAACACAATGTGGGTCAGTGCTGTGTCGAACATACGTATAAACACAGGAAGGTTAGTTGCATCCTCTCTTGTGAACACTGAAAGGAAGAAAGCACATTTCAATGCCTCCAGCTTTATCCTGGTCAGGAATCTGCGTAACTACCATCTTCAAGCCTCAGGTCTGATGTCTCCTACTCGCGTTTTCAATTTCGACTTTGCATAGCGGTAAAAAACGCCTTTGGGTTTGACTTGACCTCGCGTGCAACCAGCCTTTGGAACTCCTTTTCAGCCCTCCTACACTCCTATCTTTGCTTGGTTTCTGGCTCTTGCATACATCCTCCTGTCTTGCTCATCGTTTGACCCAACCCACGTCTTGAATTTCTGGGTTTCTTCTTAATTTTGTCGACCGCCGCATGGTTCATGTGTAGGGATCCCCTCGTATTCCTAGAAGCACTGGGTTTGGTCTTGGGTATGTATTTATCGATCAAATGGGTCATTTTACTAGTTATGATATTCAGCGTAGTGTCTGCGTTCTTGTACCTTAATAAGTCAGGCCAGTTGATACCCCTCATCTCTTCCCCTCATCCCATTGTAATTTCCTTGTAATATTTACTTGGCCTGGCCTTATCTTGAACTAGGTAACAGTTAAATCTGAATGACAACACTGTATGGTGACTGGTGCCAACTGGGGCAAGTGTTCCAGTTTGGCCACCATACCCTCCTCGTTTGTTATGATGAGGGTCAGTGGCTTGGGTGTTTCATTCCCCTCTGTAATGTGTCGGGTCTCTCACATGTTGGAACGAAAATTATCTCTCAGAGTTTCTACAAAAAGAGTAGCAGGATTATTCAAGTCATTCAGGGGTTGACTCGTTTTCTCCAGTCGATGTCGCCATAGTTAAGGATCCCCATGATAAGGAGGTGGCTGAGGGTTGACATCACCCGCATTGTTTATTAGGTTCTTAAGTTCCTTTGATTTAGTGGGCCACAGTTCGGGATCTCTAGATACACCCGACGATAAGTAAGTCCCCTCCCTTTAATTTAATTTTTACACCACTTGGACTCTTCAAAGACATCCTCTCCCTGTGCCCTCGCCTGGCTGGCTCTAGGTCTTGCCTAGCGTAGATAACCACACCCCTCCCTGCAGGATTCTTGAGTTAGGTTCGTAAATGAGTCATATCCGGCAATACTGAACTCACATTCTCTGGGTCGATTCTCCTGTTCTTGTGCAACAGTTCTACAACTCCTACAATATCTGGTTGTACTCTTAGTAGTGTTCAAACTCCTCCTCTTATCAGGAACGTGTCGGTATTAGTGTACATGACATTCAAGCCAGAATTTGTTCTCGGCCAACGTCTCTGCTCTTAGTAATAAACCCGCTCACCCACATTCTCTCCAGAAGCTGCAGCATTTTGCTAAGTACACTGTATTTTTGCAGGGGTGTGGTTAAAAGGCTTCATTGTTTACGGCGCTCGTTCCCTCCTGTCCGGTGATGAGCTGGTGCCGCCTCCCGGAGTGGGGGGTTGAGTGGGTGGAGGGGTGCACTGCTGCCCCCTGGCCCTGTGTCGGCACACTTGTTTCCACTACCCTCCCCCTGGTATAACCCATGTGTGCACCTGTCCCCGTTCCTTCTCGACTCCTCCCTCCTCTGCTTCAAGTCAGCAGAGACTTCTTTGTGCTGTTCCTCTGCATTACCGTGCGGTCTGGGTGAATAAGCCATCTCAGAAATGCGCTCCTTGCTAAGTTTTTGCCTGCCGGATAACTTGCCATTTTCCTCCTCACTCCCTAATGTGATCCTGAGGGGGCGAGGCCCAGCCCCTACTTTGTCCCAGTCTCCTCACATCCTGAGGTTGCTGGAATCTTCAAGTTTCTCTGTGCAAATATTTTGAAACAGCACCTTGTCGTGTGTTTCCTTACTCACGGATTCCCTCTGCCTGGCTCTCTGGGACTCCAAAAACACAATACATTGTTCCTGCGCTGGAGTACCGTTCCTGGTGTTCCTCCTGCTCCCTAACAGTAGGTCCGTTAATTTTCATTTCTTCGACACACTTTTTCAGAGTCCCCTGCTGTAGAACCTGTACTGATTCTGCATTACCTCGCCCCCACCACGTGGCCCTCTATGCACGTCCGCATAGCTCCTCTTAGTAACCACTCTATTCTATTAGCTACTTCTCAGTCTTAGCAAGGATCTCTTTCCCAACTTGCTCCAGTTTGTCAACCAGCAGGGCTCCTGCTTCATCTATTTTCGTCCCTAGAGAACTCGTTCCCTTATGGCTTGCAATCGCTTCATTCACCTTGACTATGCAGCCAGAGCAATACCAGCAACAGCCATCATGCTTTACGGCAGTTAGTAACTTCCTAAACGTTGCATTAGTCAGGCCTGTATCCTCCATATCCGACGTCTCCCTGCAGTAATCACATATCAAACTCATGGTTGTTGTTGTTGTGGTGGGGGGGGGGGGTGCAGACTGTGTATAAATCTACACCTATTTCAAAGAAAATAAAGAGAGAAAAAGTACTTAGCTACTCTCTGTTGCCTATGGAGTTGTCGTCTGCGACTGCGTACACTGTATCTCCCTGTGAATGGTGTATTGTAGGCACAGTTTCAGTCCTTGAGAAAGCACACAATCAACATAAAATTTAAAGTCTCTGTGGCACCTATGACACGACTTGGTTTCAGCTGGCACGGTGCCTTTCCAGCTTGCTTGCTAGTGAGCGCTCACTTTAAGTTATTTACAACTTCAGCGGTCACTGATGACACTATGAACTATCACTGTGTACACTGTATCTCCCTGTGAGTGGTGTATTATAAACACAGATTCAGTCCTTGAGCAAGCACACAAACAAAATAAAATTTAAAGTCTCTGTGGCACCTATGACACGAATAGGCTGGCAGTTGTCCTTACCAGCTCGATTGCCAATATGTATTCACTTTAAGTTATTATAGTCTCTTCTGCATTCACTGATGACAACTATGAACTGATTTAACTGAAGGCACAGTACTACACTCCCTGGTTGGCCTTTATCACAGCCGTGACCACAACACCCTAAAAAAATAAAATAAAATAAAAGCTTTGTCATGTGGCAGTGATTGTGTGGTTATAGGCCTGTGACCCTGGCTGCACCTCCAACTCGGTGGAAATTGAGTTTTCAAAAATACAATCGTGTCTAGCATGAAAAGTCCGACATCGATTTACACTTTCACCTCACTAAGACGATCTTGACGAACTTATGTAATCACTGTCCAATTTCTGCCGCTCTACATCGAAGGCCCGGATGCCGAACACGCTTTGTTACAGAGACGCAACACGACCTGATCGGCTCGTTAACCGCTTGGGCGATCGGTCACGTATTTAAAAACA